TCTTGTCTTATTTCTGAAATAGGTCTGAAAACCAATCACTTTGACTCCAGGTTGTCATCAGCCTGAATTTATAATATAAGCCTATTTGCTGCCACCCCGTGAGGGATTCTGAGGGCAGAGAGAAGAAACAAGATGATAGTTTTTAGCCTTCCAGTAATACTGGTTCAAGTGACAGCAAATTAATTCCTGCATCATGTGAACTGCTCACATGAGATGAATCCACACTGCCAGATGACATATGACAAAAGGGCAGACTCTACAGACTGACAAAGGTGAGGCCAAGAGGAACATAAATGGAAATAAACACCAGGTGCCGGGGAAGGAAGGATCCCAGGGTTCGTAGAAGCCCAGGGTCGGCCACCATGTGCGTAGTTCCAGTCACTCTGGCAGAAGGTTGGCCTTTGTCATGACAAGACAAATTTAAAGGCCACAAGTTTCCATAGGGCGTAGCAATGTTCAAAGATGCTCCAAATATCACGCACATTCTTCCTGTCCTACTGAGGACAGGGACAGTCGAGTTACACACCCTTGCTAACTTAATCTGATCCAGCAAGATTATTTTCATTTGTTTATCCCAAGAGAGAAACTGCCAGCCCTATAAAGTTGCCCAACACAGCTTAGAATGAGAAAACTGGAAAAATCAGTTATGAAGGTGCCGGTGGCACCTATGTTCATCATGACACGGTGGTGTTCATCTACACAGCTGCAAAGAGACAGAAGATACAGTGCCAGGCCAAAGCCATCTCCATGGCATGGATACAACGACCTGTTTATATGACACCATATCCAAGGTCTACAACAATTTTGCCAAACACTAAATGTTGTTTAGGGGCAAGGGATTACTCCACATCACCTGAATTTCTTTACACAAATATGCTATAATCAGAAAACTCTTAAAGAACATTTTATGAAGCATTTCACGATTGGGTGCATTTCTGACACATTACATTCAGAAAGCAAGAAACCAAATCATAGACACACTAGGGCTAACTGTGTGAAAAGCAGCTCTGATTAGGAAAAAAGCATCCGTTCAGTGAGTGTGAAATCTCATCATCTGCACATCAGGTTCCTGCTGGGGCTGCTAGAGACTACGCTTCTCACAGACAAGCTGGATGGGAAGGACACAGGACAGGGCAGACACAGCTGAGGCTTGTGGGTGTCTGTGAGTGGGTTCCCAGGCAGCCACGTTCCTCTGGGTGGTGGGTGCCTCTGGTGTGTGGCTTTTCACAAGCTGCCTCAGCACATTCTCCTCACGCCTACTCTGAGCCAGGGCTGCAGGCCTGTTGTTTTCTCCCTGTTCCCACGGTAGTGTAGTGAGAGACCTTTTGCTTTTACAAAAGCAAAACAAAACAAAAAATGAACATTAAAAAAAAAAAGGTAGAGAAAGGAAACCTCCCAAACCCAGAGGCTTCTGGGAACCATGGCAGTACTGAAGGCCACATGCTGCGTGGGGGTGTGAGCCAGCTCCACGCCTGTCCCTGTAGGCATGGGGACAGAGTGATACAGTGAGACCAGCGCACGCAGCACACTGGATCTGACAAGTTGCACCAGGCAGCCTCTGAGGAAGGTGTAACTCGGGGAGTTCTGGCCGTTCACTGAGCTTTCCTGCTAAGTAACCCTCCTACCAAGAGGCAATCTATGAGAATCCAGGAGAAACACCGGCAGCAGCGTCCTAATGCTTTACTTGAAGGCTCTGCGAGGGTTTGAAACCAAAGTCACAACTGCTCCACTTACTTTGAAGAACATTCCTTGTTATTCTCACAGCAACTCAGTGTAAATGAAATACGAACAAATGTAACCTCACGCAATCTCTGATAATCTAGGTGTCTGCAAATGTGCTTTGCTTGTTCTAAGGACCCAAAGTGCCCAGAAGAGCTTAGAACCACACGTGCACAGGTACAACACGTATGCTTGTTTGGGTACCCCTCCCCTCCCTACCCTAGCCCACTTTGCCTCAGGCAGGGCCTGGGGGCAAACAAGATCGTGGGCATCACCGGGGTTGAGCGGTTCATATGATGAATAAGTGGTAAAGATGCTAGTGTTTGTATTTCCTGGTTATTCTGCTAAAGGCAGGGCACACTGTGAGCATCTCTGTGGCCTCAGTCCTCTCTCTGTTCTGGCACCACCAGCAACTTCCCAAGTGTTTCTGCACTTGGGTGGGAGGGAAAAGCAGGTGACTAGAAAAATGAGTCACTGAAACTCACCACGGCTGCCACATGTGCCCTTCCCAGGCGTCCATGGACAGAAAGTCTATGTTGTAGTCCTCAAGAAAACACCCCCTGACCAGGACGCAGTAAAAGAAAAGGCAGGTTGTCCTTGGCTCATTGTCTGGACCCCGAATGCAGCCTTTTCCTCCAAGTGGGGACCCCAGACCTGTCTGTACTGTAAGCCCTGCCATGAGAATACTTAAGAACACCTTCTTAGAAGAATGCCAAACATTTTACCTGGACAAAACTCACATTGGGGACCCACTCCTACCCAGGCCTAGATCATACCAGGCCATAACTGACACTGGATATGGCTTATACCTGAAGTGTGGCTCACACCCAGGCACAGCTCATATCTGGGGTATGGGTCACAGCTAGGCTCACCACTGGGTATGGCTCACACCGAAGAAACACCCAGGAAGTTTCTGACAATCTGGGGAAGAGATGATCTTTTTTTTTTTAAACTTTCAAGCAAATAAATTAATTAAAAAGGTGAAGTATTCTGGGCAGGATGACCCAAATTTGCAGTCTAGAGTTTCTGATGCCTCCATGACACCATACCTTGGGGGAAAAAAAGAGTCAAAGTGTTCACACATAGTGAGCATGGCTGAATTGTGAAAATAAAGAGAAATTTTATTGGAGAAAACCCTAGGACCCTGTCTAAAGGCCTAGCTTAGAGCAGAAGAGCACCTTGTGACTGCTGTCAGCAGCTAGCCCTGGTGCCCAGCTTTGGTGACTTATGAGAGTGCACGATTGCATATTCGCAGAGGCCTCCAATTCTGGAACACTCTTACCCCTGTGATGTGCATGTGTGCCTTGCGGACTTGTTAGCGTGGGTGTGTGCAGGTGCACATGCATGTTTAAGCTCAGGCCAGAGGCTCACATTGTATGTCTTTCCTCCATCACTGTCTACCTTTATTTTTCAAAGACAAGTCTCTCACGGACCCAAAGCACTTCAGTTCAGCTAGGCTGGCTGCTCTGTGATGGCTGGTTGTTTTGTTTGTTTGTTTTGTCAAACTGAAAAACTGGAGTCGTTTGGGATGAGGCAACCTCAGTGAGAAATGCCCACACCGGACTGGCCTGTAGGCAGGCCTGTGGTTCATTTTTTAAACTCGTGGTTGATATGGAGGGCCCAGCCCACCGTGAATGACACATTGCTGGGCATGCAGTCTTGGGGTATATAACCAAGCAGACCGAGGAGCAAGCCAGCAAGCAGCGCTCTCCCATAGTCTCCACATTAGCTCCTGCCTCCCTGTTCCTGCCTGTTTGAGTTCCTGTCCTTACTGTGCTGTGGAACTGTAAGCTGAAAGGTCTTCCCCATGTTGCCTTTGGTCATAGTGTTTATCACAGCCATAGAAACCCAAGATACACCTGTTCTGCCCAACCCCAGCAGTGGGGTCACAAGCCATACCTGGCTTTTTTCATGGGTGCTGGGGATCCAAACTCAAGACTGAATGCTTATGTGCATTCACATAATGCTTAATGCTTCACTGCCTAAGGTGTCTTTCTAGCCTGAATCAACTTTTTGTCCCTATGAATTTGCTCATCCAGACTTTTCACATAAACTCTCATTTACTAAGAGTTCTTTCTTTCTGTAAAGTCACTAGGAACAATGAATTAGGAAAGCCACTGCCATGATCCCTGGAGAAAGATATGCTCAGGCTATCTCAAGACTGCAATCATAATGCTTTCAACAGCCAGTCAGTACTATACCACCTTGTTTCCGTTTAAAGGTACTGTGTTTAATATTCACTGACCTCGAGGCCAGTAGGCTTAAATGAAGCTTCCGCAACATAACATCTCCACGAGGCACGCCACAACCCCCCCAAGCTGAGAACATTAGATATAGCACTTCAGCCCTGGGCTCGAGGCCACTTTACAGAGTGAAATCACCAACAAAGAAAACAACAGCGACCATGGTAGCACCGGCCCGAGTGTGCAGGAGGGGGCGCTGGTAGGAGCTTAGACAGCACGAAATGCTGTGCTGGGTGTCCTTCTTAGCCAGGAATGTACACATCAAGTGACTCAGTTTAACCTTTTCCACTCTGGGCATGCTCTCTGGTGACCAGAAAACCACTGTGAGTGTTGATTTAGGGTTACAAGTAAATATTAGCAAACAGACAAGTTCCCGGCTACAGATGCCTTGAATGATGGGGTCATAAGTGGCCCTGTGTCCTGGCTCTGCTAAGCTTACATATGAGAAAAAAAAAAATTTGACATGCACTTCTGAGAGGCAGGCAGGATGGGTTCACAGAAAACCACCGCTGCCCACCGCCACCTTCAATGCCCAACCTACCTATGTCAGCAATTTATTTCAATACAAAATAGTATTTGCTTACAACAACGCTAGGATTTTAGAGGTTAAAGTTAAGCAAAGTTACAATTTAAAGCTAATATTTCCCCTGGTCTTACGAAAATGTGAAAAATATACACTAAAACGGCCCTCAAGTTTAATTCTTAAGATCCTAACAAAAGCCTCTTTGTTAACACTGAATTTACTTGCCTCTAGCCAAAGTACCAAAAATATAACCACTATTTATTCTTCATCAAAGACTGAAAGTATTTGTAGTATTTTTCTTACATCTTTAAAAGGCAGAGGTCAATGCTATTTCAGGTGGAAAAGGCAGTGTGGCTACTTTTAAGACCTTTAAACAAATTAGTATTGATCTGAGAACTAATTTGAAAGTCCACTACCACAGCCAGAAAACTGAATCTCAGAGCCCCAAAGCAGCAGAGTTGGAAGTTCTATCTCTTTCCTAAGTGAGTGAGCAGAGTGGCACAGATTCCTCATACCTCGCTTCTGGATGAAGACTCGAAGCAAGGGGTTTGCGCTTGAGACGGCCTTGCAGAAGTTGTCGTCATTGTTGATGGGCAGCAGGTCCCCGTGTACATCAGCATAGCCAATGGTCACGTCGGTGTTCGAGATGTGGTGCGTGTGCACGACCAGCTGGTAGAACTCTTCAAACTTCCCGGGCTTGTGACGGTCCAAGGAGAACCTTCGGAATTCAGCCCCAAACTACAAGGCAAGAGAGGAGGTGAGTGAATACTGGGGAGAGAGCAAGAAGAAGGTACGGTGTGTTCATGGCGCGATGTGGTGACCAAGTCCCCAGGAGGCATGTGCAGCCCCACGTTGCGGTCTTGTTGCCTTGGCAAGTCTAATCCTATTTAAAACATGTAAAGGAAAGTAGCAGGCTTTCAGATGGTGTTTTTAAAATATCCCCTTTGTTCTGATTATTCCTCCCCATGTTTCCAACCCCTCCCTGCTTAAACCTTTCTACCCACAGAATCTACTTTCGAATTACCTATGTTCTGCTATCTTCCCTTAAGTAACACCCACAGGCCTCTTATTAGTTTCCTGGCTTCTACAGTAACTTCAAGTAAACACAACAAGTTAGAGATCTGAAGCTAGAATCCACACAGGAGGGACAAAATAAAGATGCTATGGAGGCTGCTGGGAGGAAAAGGCATTAACTGTGAACCTTGCAAACTACGACGCCAACCTGCGGGAAAAAATGTGACTACTTGCACAATAGTGGCACTTCTGTTAGGGGGTAACCAACTGATTTTTTTAAAAATTGGATTTAATACTGTGCCATAGGAGGGAATCCACGCTGGGCACTGAAACCTGGGCAAGAACCACGGCAGGGGAAACAAAAGGCTACAGTGGGAATAGAACACTGCTGGTTAGCTAAACTGACAACACTCTGAGCTGCCTTCTAAATATTTATATTTATAACCACAAATACTACTGTAAGCCTTAATCAGAGAAGGTTCTCTTTCCAGTGAGAGGTGGTGAATCAAGAGGCTCATGGCTGCACAAGGTGCCGACAAGAAGTGACCTATGAGTTGGCCCTAAATAAGACATTTATACCATCCTCTCTAAAGCTCAGAGAGAACACTGTGGAAAGTGGGACCGACACAGAAGGAGTGTAGGAGCCGGGAGATGGGGAGAGGGGCTGTGAAATGCCATCTCTGGGCACGACACAGCCACCGCAGCCATGAACTCACAGTGGTTGCAGATGCCTGCCCTGGGTCTGCACAGGAATGGGCCCTTCGACATTCAGACAAAGATGAAGGGGGGCTCAAGGGGCCTTACTCCTCGCTGCTGAACTATTTTGCTATGGATAGATTCAGGGAAAGGGGAAGTCTTTTCAGTTCTGTACCCCAATAGTGACCCCACCAGGTTTCAATAGACAGTTCTAATCTAATGGTTGCACAGACAGCCCTGGCTTAAACTACATGGGTCACAAAACAAACCCAAAAGCCATCAGCCTTAGAACAGGACTGGCAAGGAGGGAGAGGCATGACAAGAATAGGAGAGTTAAGAGAGGTGTTGGGAAGGGGTAACAGAATGCATTATATGAAACTGTAAAACAACAAAAAATACTTTTTGAAAGTTAGAAAAATAAAGGAATAATAGGGGGAAAACGAAAAAGAACCAGCTTTCTTTCAAAAGAGCATTAACACTCCACCTGTGGACCGTAACTGGTGGTTCCGCAAACACAAAGGCCCAGGGCCAACTTCTGTTCTGCAGACCTATTTGCCCATGGTGATGCTCGCATAGCTTATGTTCACCTCCACAGGACCGCAGCCCACAGCATATGGGCCACCTCTTGAGGGCTGCAAGGAATGGCCATGGTCAGTCTGGCCTGAGAGTCTGAGCTCAGAACAGTCTTCAGTATAATTAAGAGGTAAATAAATGGGCTCTAAAGTACACAGGGATTAAATGCTTAATGTTATACGAGAATAGCCATTATAACATCTGGACATTATAACGGATGAGTCATCTAAAGTCCCTGAGGTTTGTGTCAAAAATCACCTATGAAGCTCTCAGATTTGGGATATATCCCAGGAATTCGTAATTTTAAAAAGCTCCAAGAAGAAACCAATTCAAAATTCTGGCAAAAAGCTACATTCAGTGACTAGTCAGAAGCCTACTGTCCCCTCCTACCCCACAGTAAGGGGAGGAGTATGGCCCTCACACACACACTGGGTAGGGAAGAAGGATGGCCCCAGAATTAGTATCTGGCTAGTTACATTTATAATGGCTAATGCCTTGGAAAAAGCAGAGGAAAGGGCTCTGTTTGTCTCTGCTGGGCCAGAGGTGCAGATTAAACTTTCACCCCAGCTGCCATTACTCAGTGAAGTATGTTATTTCTTCTCAGCACTTAACAAAGGGTGCCCCAGGTAGATGCCCCAGCAGCGGGTAGCTGGGGTAGAGCACATCGGTCTTCATTCAGAGGGCTTGAGAACCCCCAAGTAACAAGAGATAAAGCCTACAACCCAATTTCTGTATGATTCTGTCCCGATTTGTTTATCCAAACATATCATGACACATTCATTTTAAAAGCAGGCAGCCTTCATTTCCCATCTGTGTGGCTGGCTTCTCCTGAGTCTGTGAGCACACACCCTCTCTTCCCACTGAAGACACGGAAGCCTGTAACGATGAGTAATGAAACCCTGGGAGCACTCCTCTCACATCCAGTCCTTGTTTGGGTATCTTCGGCAGGATGCGTGACTCTACAGTCACCTGAGGAACACCCTTTCCTCTGTGCACACAGCACCCCTCACTGCAGACTCAGCGCCAGAAGCTAGCACTTAAATACCCACGTTCCCCAACAAGGCTCCCCCTTCCATTTCATTCGGCAACGAACCTGCATGCAGCTCAGTGTATTTTTCACTATGTAAGCAACTCTCCTAAAACGTGTACCTTCCTGTCGCAATTCGGAAAAGCGAAAGAATTCACACTTCTCTTGAGGTGAAGAAAGTTGGGTTTGTGTCTGACCATGTGACTGGTTTGTCACTCAATCAGAGAGACTGTTATGTGTGTGTTTAATGTTACATGTTTCACATCTCCAACAGAGATGTGAAAAGATGACACAATAAATGCTTTTCATCTAAAAATTAAAAAAAAAAAAGCATTTCCCACTTAACATCAGAGTAAACAAGGGGCTTCTGAACGAAGGATTTAGTAGCTGCAACTCAATGCCATAGAGCTCTTGGTAATGCCAAGATTTTTCTACCTCCTAAAAATCGAAAACAAACAAACAAACAAACAAACAAAACAAAACCAACACCCAAAGCAGAAAAAAACATGGCTCTAATGACCAGATAATAAATCTTGCATGTCAAGTGCTTTCCTGTTGTTTACTTTAATCAAAATCAGAAATTGTTCATATTGAACTCATAGCAAATAGACGGTCGAAAACGGTTCTAATGGCTGATCTCCTCTTGGCATGTGACCTGGGGAGAGGTCAAAGAGCCTTTTACTCAGCTGCTCCTTCGCTCTCGCTGGCTCTACTTCCAGTTACACAGCATTTGTTTATGGAAACAAAGCTGATGCTGGTGCTGACATCTATAGCAGGAAACAAAGAAATCATTTTTTGTATTGCCCAGTCACTGAGCAATAAATACCTTTTGCTAAATGAAGGATTTGTAAGATGCTTATTCTGGATGGCCTACAGTTATTTATCAACATAATGTGATAAACATTGCAACAACTCAATCTAGAACTTTTAAAAGGTAAATTCTATAACCCCCAGTAGTCATTTTTGTTTTAATTTAAAAAATTTAATTCAGTCAGGCGTGGTGTCGCTCACCTTTAATCCTAGAACTCGGGAAGGCAGAGGCAGGAGGATTGCTGTGAGTTTGAGGCCAGCCTGATCTACAAAGGGAGTCCAGGAAAGCCAGAGCCACACAGAGAAACCCTGTCTCAAAAACCAACAAACAAAATTAATTCTTTTATAACTTTATCTTATATATAACTTTTATTTGTACATTATATATATTATATGGTATATACTATTATATATATATATATATATATATATATATATATATATATATATATATATATATATAAATGCATCTTGATCACATCCAGCCTACATCTTCCCTCCCACTCCTCCAGCCTCCCTCCTAACGCCCACACGTCTTTATATCCTCCTCTTTTGGAAGCAATTGCTGCATGCACATGGGTGAGACTACTGAGCACAGACAACTTATCAGCAGTCACTCTCTTGACTGTTGCCACTGTTTTGCTTTGTTTTTACTTGTTCATTTCTGAGACTGGGTCTTGCTATATGTAGACCTGTTTGGACCCAGTTCAGTTCTTGATTTTCCTGCCCCCAGCCTAGTGAGAGATGATTACAGAAGTGTGACACCACAGAAGGCTCATTTTAGTCATTTATAAAATTCAGGGGTGATAATACACATAAAATATGCCTGTGTCTCTTCCTCTCACAGTGGTGTGTCTGTGTGTCTAAGCTGACCTTGAACTCACGGACTTAAGAAATTTTTGTACCTCAGCCTCCTGAGTGATGGGGTTCCTATCTCTGAAGCTCCTTCTACTTTGCAAACTGAAACATGAGCAACAATTTAGGAGTAATTTTAAGAAAGATTTTATAGCCATATGAGAAATGTTTCAACTTTAACTTATCTAAACTTTTTATTACATAGAAGAATGATGGATAATCAAGCATAAATTAGTAGGACAGAAAAATATAAGAAAAGTCTCTTGGAATAATAATGGATAAAAGAAATCAAGGAGAAAAGGAATTATATAAATTTCTGATCATTAAAAAAGACTGTTTATTCTATTTTAAAATATCTAATGGAAATAGCAAACCACCCCACTCAGATTTCATTTTCTCCATTGGAAAGACCAGCTGGGTGTGGTGATGTGCACACAGGCAGGGACGTGCAGACAGGCACGTGCACGCACACAGTCTGAAAGTCCACCTTTCCCACCAACACTCAACGCAGGCAGGATCTTTCCCCTGAAGGCATTAATCTAGGCACAAGGAAAGACAGAACACGAGCTGTTGAGGGTCACCTTTCCGGAAGTGTCATTATCAAAGAAAGAAGCAACTAGCCTGAGTAATCTTCCAGCAGCCACAGGTCATTTGTGTCTTGAACCCATGGTGGATGGGACCTTTTCTAATGTGCTTATAAAAACACAAATTAGTATTTTTGGAGAGTGCTTTGGAATCGGCTTATTATTATGAAAACTGTCAA